TTGACAGATGGTCACAAGGCTTAGGGTTTCTTTTCTGATGGTTCCTCCCAAATTTCAAGAATTTACAGTTTTTGGCTGGGTGTGGTGGCTCATGCCTATAATACTAGCACTTGGGAGGCCAAGGCGGGTGGATCACCTGAGGTCAGGAGTTCGAGATCAACCTGGCCGACATGGTGAAACCCCGTTTCTACTAAAAATACAAAAAATTAGCCAGGCGCGGTAGTGCGCTCCCGTAATCCCAGCTACTTGGGGGTGGGTGCTGAGGCATGAGAATCTCTAGAACCCAGGAGGTGGAGGTTGCAGTAGGCTGAGATCACACACACCACTGCACTCCACACTCCAGCCTGGGTGATAGGGTGAGAATCCATCTAAAAAAAAAAAAAAGAAAAAAAAAAAAAAGATTTTATAGTTCCAAGAACCTCAGCTAGAATTCTTTTGCAGTTCATATGTGATTAAATATTTTTTCTTTCCTCTGTCTCTTTCCTGTCTTCTTTTACTCTATAATAATGTGCTAGAATGAGATACTGCATTGAGGCAAGTTTATTTTCAGCGTGTCAAGAAAACATTAAACAGGTATTTGCCTGATGATAGCATTGGACACGTTTTGTAAAATACAGGAATCCCTTCTACCTGGGATGTCAAGGGACTGTTCCTTTGCTGGGAGAATGGACCAATCTTTTGCATCAGCTCAACGCTGCTTTGGGGAGTGTTTTGGATACAGTATATGTATTGCTTCGTTTAAATGAGAAATAACTGCGGTCATTAACAAATAATCTTGTGTGATAAATCTGACCCCGATGGTGTGCTAGGTTGCAAAACCTTCCCCTTCTGCTTTGGGAAAACTCATCTCTGTCTCTCCATCCCTCCCTCTGCCACCAGCCTCTGTCCACCCCCAAGCCCAGCTCCTTGATGGCAGGAGTATAACCACAGAGGCTGAATCAGAGCCAAACCCTTTGCTGCTGCTTTGAAGAATTTTTGTTCTGGATTTAGAATCCTACACTCTAAACACATTCATTGGCTGGAATTCCTGATTTCTGTCTGCTAAGTCTCCTGCCTTCCTCACTGTACTCCACTGTTTGAAAAAACATTTCAACATCTCTCCACTGCCTACCAAATAAAAGTCTAAATTCCTTAACCTGGCACTTCGTGCCTTCATGGTCTTACCCTACCACTGTCCTCCATGTGTCCCATCTGTAGCCACACTTGTTACTTGGGGCTATTTCTAGTATTTGCGTCAGTTTTGTGGGTCTCTCTGGCCAAGTGTATGTCTCATTATTAGAAGAAACCTCTCTTTACTCTGAAGGCATATATATCACACGAACTGTCAACTTACCAGCCTCTCCACCCATTGACAAATAGCCTACATTGACAAATAGTATCTTGGATCATTAAGTCTTCAGGAATAGTTTACAATGCAATCAAAAGCAGCACTTTTTAAGGAAGTTAAAACGATTCCTTATTACTTCCACTGGGTATTCAATTAATTTTTTCATCTTAGTCTAGATTGTAAATGTTTTAATGACAGTCAGCATGTCTGTTTCACCTCTGTTGTCACCACAGGGTCTAGCACAGGTGTGGTGGAAGAGTGGGAGCCTAAACATTTTTTGTTAGGTCTCAGCTCTCCACCCTGGATCCACCACTACCTGCTGCTGCCCACAGTCCAGTGCCAAAGAGAAGAGAAAAACACCAGGCAAACAAAACATTCTACAGAGAATAAGACTGACCTATTCCGCAAGGTCTGACTATAGCCTCCTAAACCTGAGCCATCGGTGACACGGCCCAGGTGGGAAACTGTACCTCATCCCTGGGAGGGCAGCACAGCCACCAGCAACTCGAATGCAGCTATATTGGACAAGAAAGCTTTGGGGTAGAAGTCGGGGAATTAAGGCAATCCAGTTCCCTTCTCCAGCTGAAAAGAAAATGTGCTCATTGAAATATACAATCTTAAAAATGCGATTCTACCTAGCAGAGTGATCTGCAACCTTTTTGGCACCAAAGACAAGTCTTGTGGAATACAACTTTTCCTTGGACTAGGGGAGTGCAGGATGGTTCTGGGATGATTCAAGCACATTCCATGTACTGTGCACTTTATTTCTATTATTATTACATTGTAATATATAATGAAATAATTATACAACTCACCATAATGTAGAATCAGTGGGAGCCCTGAGCTTGTTTTCCTGCAACTGGGTGGTCCCATATATTAGGTGATGGGAGATAGTGACAGATCATCAGGCATTAGATTCTCATAAGGAGCATGCAATCTACATCCCTCACATGTGCAGTTCACAATAGGGTTTGTGCTCCCATGAGAATCTAATGCCACTGCTGATCTGACGGGAGGTGGAACTTAGGTGGTAATGTGAGCCATGGGGAGAGGTTGTAAATACAGAGGAAGCCTCACTTGCTTGCCTGCTGTTCACGTCCAGCTGCGTGGCTCAGTCCCTAACAGGCCATGGTAAGTGTCCATGGCCCTGGGTTGGGGACCCCTGCCTGACCTAGCAGACTGATTCTACCCACAAAGTTTTTAAGATGATGAAATAAACCTTGGAGATAGTGAAAAAACACTACAAAAAGTGTTTTGATATCTTAATTTTTGTATTGAAAAATGATAAAAATTTCCCTCGAGTTCACTTTTATGATAAAGATATAGGATCACAATATGATGACGTTTTCTGTGGGATTTTAGCCTCAATCTATTTTGCCACAATAAAACATGCAAGAGTCTTCATGAAATGTAAAGGGAAAAGTAGTTCTTAATTACAGAGCGTATTTTCCAGGCATCACTGCTGTCTAGCATATTACTAAATACAAAGTCGACTCAATCGATAGGCTTTCTTATCTATGTTAATAGCTGATTTATCAGTCTCTCCACTCATGAACAAATGGCCTACACTGACAAACAGTATCTTAGATCATAAATTCTTCAGGAATAGCTTGTAATGCAATCAAAAGCAGTGCTTTATGGGGAAGTTGTTAAACTTTCAAGAGAAAAGGTTCTAATTCCTTTTCCAATGTTTTGATTACTAATAACTTGGAAAATGCAGCGCAGAATTGGTAAGCTGAGTTAACAGGAGAGCGGGTTTATTCCTTATTCCTTTGATCTGTTCTTTTCTGACCATCATTATGTTGCAGAGAAAGAGAGGGTGGTGTTCCTCTTTTCTCTCTGCTCTCTCATAATAAATCCCTCTTGTCACATGGAGATTGAAACTCAAGAGCAGGATGTAGAATCTTGATGAGTTTGTAGCTCCTAATGGAAGGAAATATGTAATTACCCATGCGGACCACGAAACTCATTTGCAAAGGTTAACAGTGTTCCTACAATTTACATGCCATGCCACCTGCTTTGTTAAAAGCATGCCTAATTTGAATGCTTTTGGGTAGGTGGGACTACCCAGGTTCCTAATTGTCCAAACACCTAGAGGGAAACACCAAAACCAGTTTAGGAAGCTTCTGGCCCTTTGGGATTCACTGAACAATCAATCGGAGTCATACCTTGCTTGCTTTTTGTTTTCTCAGATGCCCTCAGATAACAGCTTTTCCCTTCCTCTTGTTTACTGCCTATTTACTAGACAAAAAAAATCACACACGCTCCACAGATGGGTTATGCTCATTAACACCCATCATATGCACATTGAAGGGTGTGAACATTCACATTGCTAATGAAATGAGAATGGCGAGAGGCAGGGCAAGCCAAGCAGGCGACAGCAGGGTGACTGCTCTGCAGGGGGCGGTTTGATGGATGTGGAATGTGAACCAACTAGCTCAGGTATCTTTCACAGCAACTGATCGATCTGCAAAACACTCTCCTGATTTTAAGATCTAGGCTCTATCGGAGGCAGATCCTCAGAGTAGTGGCCATCCCAGCCACCCTCCCGAGAAAAGCATTTCAAAAGCGGATGTGTCTGATGAAAGGACCATCCCTTCGGGATAAAGAAGCATGCTAGCCAACACCTTGGCGGAAGATGGATTTAGAAATGAGCTCAGGGAAACCAAGACTTTATTTACTGTTACAGCCAACTTGTGTTGTGGACACCATAGGAGGTGTGAATCCCAAGCGGGCTCTAACATAGCTTTGATACTAAGATCGGTAACAGGACTGCAGTTTACCTTAATAAGATGGATTCTTTCTTAATTAAAAAAAAATTTTTTTTTTTTTAGAGACCAGAGTTTTGCTGTGTTGCCCAGGCTGATCTTGAACTCCTGGCCTCAAATAGCCCTCCCATCTCAGCCTTCCAAAGGGTTAGGATTAGAGGCATGAGCCATGGCACTTGGCCTGATTCTAGACTTCTAGTATGCTTCCTCAAAAGAATCACACCATGATATGTATATATATTTTTTGAGACAGAGTTTCGCTTTTGTTGCCCAGGCTGGAGTACAATGGCATGATCTCGGCTCACTGCAACCTCTGTCTCGCGAGTTCAAGTGATTCTCCTGCCTCAGCCTCCTGAGTAGCTGGAATTACAGGCATGCACCACCATGCCTGGCTAATTTTATATTTTTAGTAGAGATGGAGTTTCACCATGTTGGTCAAGATGGTATTGAACTCCTGACCTCAGGTTATCTGCACACCTTGGCATCCCAAAGTGGTAAGATTACAGGCGAGAGCCCCCATGCCTGGCTGACACCATAATTTTTAAATTGCTGCTTCTTTATTGTCAGGAAGGGAGATGGCATCTACCATTATGCAAATACATTTGGAACCTATGGAGCTTTGTAGACCCCATCAGAGCTTCAGAAAAAATACAGGCTGCCAAATCAGGCCGAACTCTTCCAGATAAATGGACTGGGAATGGCAACCCCGCATTTTCGTTTATTTTTTTATTTGCTGTCTTAAAGGGAATTGTCTTTTCTTGTGGAGCCTTTGATAACATATACACTGGTGCCTCCAGAGAGAGCTACTGGGGATCTTTGCTGCCCTGCAAAATGAGATTGCAATAAGCTTTTTGACTTCTCATACCCTCCCATTTATCTGCCCTCTTGCCAATATACATCTAGCTGCCTGTTCTTACTGTGATAATATTTCCACTTCTATTCCTTCTAGAACACTCTTCTAATTTGTGTTGGATCTTGCAAGGTTAGGAAACCAGTTAACGATTTTTACTGGAACTTTGCATTAAACAGGTGCAAATAAGGCCTGTGTGGGTATTGTTTGTGCCTGCCTAGTTTTCTACCTCTGAGATCCTCACACCCCCATTAAGCACCATGTAAATGTGTAATTCCTTCCTACAGTCTGGTACCAATGATGACCGTGGGCATGACCTTGCTAATGGTCATGCTCTGAATCTGACACAGGCTTCCTGCAATCTTGGAGGCCAGCTTCCCATTTCTAATTCCAGTTGCTCTATGTAGATTGTTAACCTCTTTCTTATTCTGAAAACCCTTGGGTGTTCGGGACAGGGTTCCTACCACATTCTTGCCATCTATTTTTTTTCCTCCACCTTTTTTTCCCCTTCTCTAACAATGAATATTCTCTTTGACTTCAGAAGGATGCTCAGGAGACAGCAATCAGTACTAAGTCCGGAAAAACCAAGATCTCAGCACGTGTTTGTTAAATGAAAGCATAAATAATAAATATGAATATACTCCAGCCTAGATGTTACTTTCAGAAGCTGCCTGTGGTTGAAGGAATACATTTTGTCTTAACCACAGGTTTTTATATGTGAAAGTCTGTACTGAATTTGGCCAGGTGGTAGGCAAAGCAGGACTTATAAAATCCAAGCACATTTATGAAAAACAAAATTTCCAAGAATGGGGCTTTATCAAAGTATTCTTATTAGGCTAGAAAGGTAACTGACAGGTTTAAAATATCAACAAAGATGTAATCCATAAATGTTTCTCACTGCTTTTTTCCTGCTGCTATTCCGGCTGTGATCAGAGCAATTAACACATTTTCATTTCGACTAAAGGCTTTGGTTCAAACAAAATGATTTCCAAATTGCAAGCCTAAAGGCAAGAGAGGCAATGCTGTGCAGGCATGAATCACTGCAAAGGGCACTGTGTGTGACAGGGGCTGACATGAACTACATACAATAGTCTTATCATTGAACAAACAAATATGCTTAACGAATCAATGCACTTAAACCCATTACTGCAGTGTTTCCCTTTATAGAGAAGAATTCCTCTAGAAAATCTAGGCTTATAAACTAGATTTCAAACTTCTAAAATTGGATTCCCCCCCTTTTTTTTTTTTTTTTTTTTTTTTTTTGAGACAGGGTCTCACTCTGTCGCCCAGGCTGGAGTGCAGTGGCGTGATTTCGGCTCACTGAAACCTCCCCCTTCTGGGTTTAAGCAATTCTCCTGCCTTAGCCTCTTGAGTAGCTGGGACTACAGGGACGCGCCACCATGCCCAGCTAATTTTTGTATTTTTAGTAGAGACAGGGTTTCACCATGTTGGCCAGGATGGCGTCAATCTCCTGACCTTGTGATCTGCCCACCTCAGCCTCCCAAAGTGCTAGGATTACAGGCATAAGCCATCATACCCAGCTGGGTCCACTTTAAAAAAAATGTTAACTTAAAAACAGTACAGATGTGTAGGTACTCTTGTTCTTAGCCACGGATATGGGCAAATCATCAGTTAAGCTTTCTGTAGTTGTTGAGAATACAGTTGATTTTGAAGTTTCTCCTATACTTATTTTTTTTTCAAGTTTTGTGCAGTGAACATGTATCAATGTTATAATTATATTTAGATATAATTATATGTAATCCTATGACATATAATTCATACACCTATATATAATTTTACATTCTCTCTGGAGCATTACTTCTTAAAGCGAGAAGAAAATTCACGGTGAGGGAGGAAGAAAGTTCACATAGCATTAAAACATGAAATTCATTTTAATAGTAAGGGACCTCACTATTTAAAAAAATTACTTGTAAATTTCCTAGCCACGAAATTATTTTGAAAAGCAAATTGGAAATTATGCCATTACTCCAGCTTTAATAAGTCAGAATATTCTAAAATGAGTCTTTTGTATGTATTCGTTTTTTTTTTTTTTTTTTTTTTTTTTTGAGACAGGGTGTTACTCTGTCACACAGGCCAGAGTGCAGTGGCATGGTCTTGGCTCACTGCAACCTCCATCTCCCAGACTCAAATAATTCTCCTGCCTCAACCTCCCCATTAGCTGGGACTACAGGTGCGTGCCACGATGCCTGGGTAATTTTTGTGTTTTTTTTTTGGTAGAGACAGGTGGGTTTTGCCATGTTGCTCAGGCTGATCTCAAACTCCTGAGCTCAGGCGATCTGCCCATCTCAGCCACCCAAAGTGCTGGGATTACTGGCATGAGCCACTATGTCCAGCCTGTATGTACATCTTTCAGATTTTTTCTAAAATAGAAGTGTTGAAGGATTCCCATTAAAGACAGTGGATTGAACACATACATTTACCACTGTTGCTTCATAAATCCTGTGAAAAGGGGAATGGAGTGTTAAGATATATGAAGGTGTAAGAACAAAACATGAGGAAGGGGATGATAACAATTTTTTTGGAGCTGAAAAACAGCAGAGCCATCTTAAGTGGCAGCATATCCAAGGACAGATGCTTGCATCGAGGTGGACAGTGCTGAGAAGTAGTCCCGTTTGTGCTGCAAAGCCCCCCTTATTTGTGCAGTTGATGGCAAGAGTTTCCACTGGACATGTGTGTGTGTGTGAAGCTAAAACAGAAGAACTCCCTGCAAGCTTGTTAAGAGCATTTATATCCCCAGATCCCTACCCCAGGCGTCTATCCTCCCCTCACTCTGGCAGGAGAGGAAAGATGTATTCTCTGGAGAGGATGCAGTGCCTCTCAGTTGATGGACTCTAGGCATGGAGGGCAGGGGGTCTGTATTGAATTCAGTCAACATTTACACACTGAATGTTGAAACCCACAGTCCTCTTCCTTCTTAGCTGTGAGAACAATGCCAGCCAGGTACAGAGTAGAAAATTCTTCTCCAGGCAACGGAGTTAAAAATTCTTCTCTGGAGCTTTCGATCAACCCAAGAGAAAAATCTTAGTAATGCAACATCAGGGGCTTCCCGGTGAAATAACTCAGCCGCTGAAGCCCATGGGTGACAGGCCCCATTTGTGTGCACAGAACTTTCAGCCATATTTTTAGTGCCTCAGTCTTACATGTGGGTGTCAGCTAAAGGGGTACCGGGCATTTGAGAACATGTCTCAAACACAGGAGAAGAAAAAAAAATCCAAAATACACATAAACACACACACACACACAAACCAACCAACCAACCAATGAAAGCTACTTGAAGGAAAAAGAGGCTGAGTAGGGAAAGAAACACTTGGGAGAAAACCTTCCGAGAGATAACATATTGCCTCTGTGAAATGAGAACAGATGATAATAAAAAAAAAAAAAAAAAAAGGAACATTCAAAGAACAAAAAAATACAGCTCTTGGAAATTCAGGACATGAAAAAGAAGTGAAAAACTCAATGAGAGTTTACGAAATGTAAATTTGAGAACATTGTTCAGAGAACAGGGGAAACAACAGACAAAGAAATTGAACAAATGAAAGAAAAGATAAGAAAATGACAGGATCACTCCATGGGGTCTGACAGCTGAACAACAGAAATTCTGGGAAGAGAGAACAGAAAATGAAAGAGAGGAAACTGTCCCCCAAAATCTATTCCTAGAGTTTGAGAACGGCTCTCCAGATTAAAAGGCCCTGCATGTGCTTCAACAGAAAGGGTCAAAATAGACCCACATCAAATAATATTCATGAGGTTTCAGAAAAGAATGGAGAAGAAAAAGAACCTGAAAGCTTCCAGAGAGAAAAACACTGAGTTCAAATAAAGGATTGGGAACGAAAATGGCGTTGAATTTCTTGAGAGCAACACTATTGACAATGGACAAATTCCTTCAAAATTGTGAAGGGAAATAATTTCTAAATAAGAATTCTGTATTCAGTCTGACTTCAATTAAATGTAAGGGAACATAAAGACATTTTCAGACTTGTTCTGTTTCAGAAATGTGGTTCCCATGCACTCTTTCTCAGGAAGCAACAGAAGGATGGCTCCATTAAAAAAAAAAAAAAAAAAAAAAAGGGATCGATCAACCCAGAGAAAGTCATGGAAGCCAGGTAGGAGGGGGGCCTCACGCCCTCCAGAGGCCCAGGTTATCTATGATGATGGAGAAGGGACATGCAAGGATGGCGATATGGTTTGCCTGTGTCCCCTCCGCAAATCTCACCTTGAATCGTAATCCCATGTGTCAGGGGAGGGTCCTGGTGGGAGATGCTTGGATCACGGGGGCTGATTTCTCCCTTGCTGTTCTCCTGATAGTGTGAGTGAGTTCTCAAGAGATCTGACAGTTTAAAACTGTGTGGCAGATCTCAGCTCACTGGCTTTCTCCTGCTTTGCAGAGGTAAGACCTGCTTGCTTCCCCTTCACCTTCCGCTGTGATTATGTTTCCTGAGGCCCTTTAGCCATGCTTCCTGTTAACCCTGCAGAACCCAGTCAATGAAACCTCTTTTCTTCATAAATTACCCAGTCTCATGTAATTCTTTATAGCAGTGTGAAGATGGACTGATACAGATGCCCAAGGCCCGTCCAGCCAGAATGCTCTGGGGTAGATGTCTCCGAAAAAATGAAATGGGGACTCCTCTTCTATTGGCTGCAACATGTTGAGGGGAGGTTTTAAAAATTGAGAGAGAGCTTGAGTTTCAATTCATAATCAGTTCACAAAAAATTAAGCAAATGAAAAATAGCAAGATAATGATTATCTTTAAGGAAAACAAAATAGTGTGTAGAAAATGAAACTTTTTTTTTTTTTTAATTTAGAAACAGGGTCTTGCTCTGTCACCCAGGCTGGAGTGCAGTGGTGCTATCATGGCTCACTGCAGCCTCAAATTCCTGGGATCAAGTGATCCTCCCACCTTAGCCTCCCAAGTAGCTGGGACTACAGGTGCATACCACAACACCAAGTTAAGGTTTTTTCTTTTTTTTTGCATTTTTGTAGAGACAGGATCTCACACACGTTGCTCAGTTTGGTCTCGAGCTCCTGGCTTCAACCAATCCCTAACCTGTGCCTCCCCAAGCACTAGGATTATAGGAATGAGCCACCATGTCTGGCTGGAAACATAGTTCTATTGTATGGTTCAGTTATGAAAAGCATGATGATGTAAACACTGTATACGGATCTATCCAAAGCCAGTACACTATCCTTTTGGAAAGGTGAAGGTAAAGGAAACACGTGGAGGGGAGGAGGCCACGGAGGAGAGTCACTGACTGTGAAAGAGCCTAAACCTCATCTTCCACAGTCAGGAGTCATCTAGCAGTGAATGATTAAAAACAGAAACTCAAGGAGTAGCCTAGGAGATGGTAAAGTACAGCCCACCATGCAGCCACCTGTTTGTAGATAAAGTTTTATTACCACACACTCACTCATTTACATATTGTCCACAACAGCAGGGGTGAGTAATTGCAACAGAGATTCTATGGCTCTCAAAGCCCAAAATATTCACTGTTTTGCTCTTTACAGGAAAAGTCTGCTGACACCCTCAAGTAGTAGGTGAATATCTTTAGAGGATTAAAGACAAATGCCAAAAGAAAAAAAATCCAAAAATTGGGTAGTTATTTTTCCTAACAAGCCATATAGAAACATTTGACACTTTAAACAAGGTAATTTTATTACTTTAATAAAAAATAAAAGCTAAGTAAAAAAGAAGTGTTAATAGGAACTATCAGAGGTAGCATTTTTCTCCAGGAAGATAACAAAATATAAAAACAGAGTATCTCCCTTCTTGGATGAGTTCCCTCTTTCAATTTTTGAGCAATTTTTTTTGCTTACAATCCAATTTCCTGCTGTGAGCCAATCAAGTTTCCTCTCTTCTGCCTTTTTTATTTTTAGTTTTGGTTAAAAACCAAGGCAGGAAGCAATAAGTTAAACATAAGGTTTTAAATGACTTCTATCCTCTGAATGTATCTAGGGGGTAACTACAAATCTGGAGGTCGCAGATTTGTAGATTCCCAGGCAATCCACAACTTCAAAGAGTTAGCTAAACAGATTTTATTTACTCAACCAAAAGTTTCTCATATTTCCTTCAAATTTCGGCTTATTTATCTTAAAAGGATGCAGTGGAGACTCACATTTTACCCAGTGACAACTTTCCTTCCTAATGTAATCTTAAAGTGGAAAAGCATCCATGATTAATCTGGAAGTGGGCTGTCTTAGCCATGAAACAGGTTTCCAATTTAGACTTGGGTTTTGTCACAGCAACCTGAAAGGTCATTTTCTATCCACAGCTTCAAGAGAAACAATAAGGACAATTTCCAGAAAATGAGCTTTTCTTAATATGTGCAATGTCTGATAATTTATTATCATCCAGAGGTGATGGTAAATATTTCTATTCTTGAATCTGGAATGTGGAAAAGAAGGAGTTATTCTCACTATTGTATTCTCAGGTTAATACGGACGACCTTACTCAGCAGAACTTTCTGCTGCAACACAGCCAAGCTTATAGGCCCCAAGGGACTCATGCATAAGGAGAGATTGATGCCAAGTCAGCTGGCCAGGGCCCAAGCTCCCAAAAGAGGATGCGCCCTTCCAGCTCTCATGGTGTGTTGGTCGTTCACCGACGCTTCTCTGCCAGGCTATGTCACTTCAGTATGTTCAGCAGGTGTTTACTGAGCACCTTCTATGTGCTTAGCTCTGCATGAACCCCTGTGAAAATACCAGTCTACCTTGTATTCTCTACCTGGAAGATGAATCACTTCCATTTAGCTAAAGGAAATCCTTTGTCTTCAGGATCAAGTTAAATTTCAGGAGTGGGAATAAATATTAGTTTTTTCAGGATGTATGGGAACACAGTAACCACGGTGTATTAGTCCATTTTTATACTGCTATAAAGAAATACCTGGAGGGTGGGTGCAGAGGCTCATATCTGTAATCCCAGCACTTTGTGAGGCCAAGGCGGGTGGATCACCTGAGGTCAGGAGTTTGAGACCAGCCTGACCAACTATGGTGAATGTGGTGAAACCCTGTCTCTACTAAAAATACAAAAATTAATTGGGCACTGTGGCAGGTGCCTGTAATCCCAGCTACTTGGGAAGCTGAGGCAGGATAACCACTTGAACCTGGAAGGCAGAGGTTGCAGTGAGTAGAGAACGTGCCACTACACTCCAGCCTGGGTGACAAAGTGAGACTCAATTTCAAAAAAAAAAAAAAAAAAAAAAAAGAATACCTGAGACTGGGTAATTTATAAAGGAAAGAGGTTTAATTGATTCACAGGTCCACATGGCTGCAGAGGTCTCATGAAACTTACAATCATGGGAAAGGGGAAGTAGGCACGTCTTACATGGTGGCAGATGAAAGAAGTGAAAGCTAAGGGGGAAGAGCCTCTAATAAAACCATCAGATCTTGTGAGAACTCACTCGCTATCCTGAGAACAGCGTGGGGGAAGCCACCATCATGATCTGACCACCTCCCATGGGGATTACAGTTCGAGATGAGATCTGGGTGGAGACACAGAGCCAAACCATATCATGTGGCATAGGAAATACCGAAGGCACAAGAGGAAAGGGTGCAGCTTTGGGAGATTGAAAAAGGGCAGGGCAAGGGAAAAGGAGGCACACAGTACGACAGTGTGAGCTTTGATATTCATGTGGTTCTAGGGTTCGTGCATTAGACTTTCCATTTTATTTTCTTGTCTCCTAACCAAGTTCAGCCCTTCTGAGTCTTAATCTACATCTAAACTTTTACAGCACTCCCCTGGCTGGTCTCATTGCCATTAGAAGCTCAGTTCTTTAACTCATTATATACCCTGTTGCTAAGTAGATTTTCTTACACGTCCTTTGCACATTCCTCAGCCTGCTAGATGAGCCACCGCCACTAAAAAAGTGGCCTTCACAAGGACAGGTTCGGGGCCTGTCACTGCTGGAGTCCAGCATCCAGCACTGGCCAGGCAGCAGGAATCCCACGTGTCTGCTGCCTGGAAGGCAAAGAGAATCACAGAGTTTTCTAGCAGGAAGAACAAGATCAGCTAGGCTGTGCTTCCATCTTGCAAGGGAGCTAGGCTTGGTGTCATACAGCAGGAACTGAGATCCTAGTGATTAGCCAAGGCCACAGAGCCAGTTTGTGGATGGACCAGGTCTCTTGTCCAATCACTCTCTTCTATTCAGAGTCCCTCCAGGTCTCCCATGGGTCCTCCTCAATGTTTCACTCTGACACAGAAGCCTTTACCATCAACAGATTCATCTTCTTGCTGTTCCATGCACCCCTGGTGTGGTGAAGCCTGCTCACCTCTGCTAAGGCCATCCCAATGGCACAGACCCACATCCAAGCTAGATACATCTTTAAGTGGGCATTATCCAGTTCTACCTCCACAAAGCAGTCCTCCAGATTTCTGCTCTATCCCTTGTCAAGAATACATATTTCTTTTTGAAAAATCACTAATTGGGTACTTAAAACATTAACTAGAAGTATTTTAAATTTTATTCCTGCATTTCATCTCTCCCACTTGATGCTAAACCCTGTGAGGACAGAAGGGATGTTTAGACATACAGACTTGCAGTGTTGAATGCATCCTTGGGAGTCCATCTATTTCTACACATTTATTTCACAGATAATGTCACTGAGGCACAGAGCAAGGAAATGGCTTGCCCATGGTCTTTGTTTTTAAATGTAGTAAAAGGTACCTAACATAAAACAGACATTTTAACCTATTTTTAAATGTACAAGTCAGTGGCATTAAGTGCATTCACATTGTTGTGCACCATCGCCACCATCCATTTCTGGAAGTTTTTCATCTTGCAAAACTGAAACTCTATACCCATAAAACAATAACTCCCCACTGTTCCTCCTCCCAGCCCCTGGCAGCCACCATCTGACTTTCTATGTTTATGATTTTCACTACTTTAAGTATCTGATGTAAATGGAATGATACAGTATTTGTCCTTTTGTAACTGGCTTATTTCACTTAACACAATGTGAAGGGTCACCCGTGTTGTACATATAGATGACATTTTGCTTATCTATCCATTGATGGACATTTGGGTTCTTTCCACCTTTTGGCTATTGTGAATAGCCTAGGGTCTTTTAGTGATTTTTTTTTTTCCTGCTTAGCATAGTGCCTCTCAGAGTGTGGAAATTCAGTAAAAAAATTGGTATGATTATAACCTTAGCTAGACCTTCAATCTTACGGAGAAATGAAGATTTGAGCCTATAAAACAAAAGACCATCCTTTCTGTAATATAGCTCATCTGATGATCCTCTCCAAATGCGATCAATATTTAATCATAACATGTAGCGAGCATGAAAGTATGATTTTTCTTTTTACACATGTATTTATCTTTTCACTTGTATTTCTATGTATATTCCAGAGAGGAGAAAATGTGATTTAGAACTTCTCTCTAAAGTAAGGTTGTTCCCTAAGAATCCTTGGTATAGGGCCATATCATGAAACCATAAGGCTTTTAAGAATCCAATGTCAAGGATTTTCTTTGACAAATCTCATTTAGCATCCCTCCTGCTGGGTTAGAGAAAGAACAATTCAGCAAACACACTAGAAGCACCTTTCCCTTTTCCATTTCCATACACCCCTTCTCTATAGATGTGTGTCTTTGAAAATCCATTATCCCTGTGCAACTCTCTCAAGGTGAATTCAAGGACAGAAGCCTCTTACTATGAGCGTGAAGTTTAGTGGACATTTTTTTTTCACCTCCTTACACAAGCCTACATTCAGCATCAAATCAATTCATTTGGTAGTTATTACTTAGTGTTAGATCTCCAAAGTGAGTTTAAATCTCTTTTCTTAGTTAAGAGAAATGGAAAAATCTTCCTCTGCCAGTTGCTCACAATAATCTCTGTATTACCAGGAGCTTATTGAGCTAAAAAACCGACTGGGCAAAGACTAATAATCATTTTGCGCATTTCTAGAGCGCATTAAACTTTTCAAATTGTGCTTCACATCCAATATTTCTTTTGGTCTGTGAAATAATTAGGTTGGGAAAATAAGGCTGAGTTAATGATTAGGCCAGTGGAATGAGGCAGAAGCTGAAGCCAGAGGGAAGCAAAGTGTTGAGGGTCACACAGCAGCCATCGCCACAGTGGCTAGTCAGAAAAAATCATTTTGATTGTTATCTGTGTGCCCCTAGAAACAACCTAGAAGCACGTGGTCATCGGAGGTACGTCCAGTCCTGTGCAGAATCCCACCAGCCCGGCCTCAGCTGGCTCTGCCCCAGCTTCCTGGCTCATCAGAGCTTTCTCTGGTCCAGGCAAAATGCCTTCCTCTGGTTTCTGACACACCACACCTTTCCCCAGCCGTTTCCTTTTCTTTTTTTCACCTGGCTACTTCTACTCATTCTTTAAAAAATATTTTTAAAAAGTTGGCCAGGCACAGTGGCTTACTTCAGGAGGCCACGGTGGGTGGATCACCTAAGCCCAGGAATTCGAGACCAGCCATGGGCAACTTAGCGAGACCCCCATCTTTATAAAAAATACAAAAATTAGCCAGGCGTGGTGGCGTGTGCCTGCAGTCCCAGTTACTTGGGAGGCTGAGGCAGGACATCACCTGCGCCTGGGAGGTTGAGGCTTGAGGCTGCAGTGAGCTGTGATTGCACCACTCCACTCCAGCCTGGGTGACAGAGACCCTGTCTCGAAAAAAATATATATGTATATATATCTGTGATGGTCAATATTCAGTGTCAACTTGATTGGATTGTTCCAAGGATTGGAATGCAAAGTATTGTTCCTGGGTGTGTCTATGAGGGTGTTGCCAAAGGAGATCAACATTTGAGTCAGTGGGCTGGGAAAGGCAGTCTCACCCTCAATCTGGGTGGGCACCATTTAAGCAGCTGCCAGCGTGGCTAGAATAAAGCAGGCAGAAGATAGAAAAAATTAGAAAGACAGTTCTTCAAAGATGGTCAGGAATCATTACCATCTTCTATGCTCTGCCCTTCCATTTCCCCAACCTAGAAGCATTTCAACCCTTTAAGCTAATTTAAAAATTTATCTCCAAATGATGTGGTGACATTGCAATTTCATGACAGTTTTTAGTTATCATCTATTGACTTACCAATATGGATGATGATGTGTTAGCTTCTACTCTCCTCCCCACCATCCACAAGCACCATCCATCCATCCTTCTAAAATAGGCAGGTTGGACTTGTAGTTAGATCACGATTTGGTTTTTATAGAATTAAGATCACACAGGATTAAGATCATGTAAATGCCATTTAGAGCTAAGTTATTACTATTTTCTACAGTTACTTTTTTTTTTCTGTGGTGTCTCTTTTTGCTGGAGTATGTATGTATGTATGTATGTATTTATTTATTTAGAGACAAAGTCTCGCTCTGTCACCCAGGCTGGAGTGCAGTGGCACAATCTTGGCTCACTGCAACCTCCGCCTCCCAGGTTCAAGCCATTCTCCTGCCTCAGCCTCCGGAAGCTGAGACTACAGGTATGTACTGCCATGTCTGGCTAATTTTTTGTATTTTAGTAGAGACGGGGTTTCACCATGTTGCCCAGGCTGGCCGCAAACTCCTGAGCTCATTATCTGCCTGCCTCAGCCTCCCAAAGTGCTAGGATTACAGGTGTAAGCCACCATACCCAGCCTATTTATTTTAAATTTGTTTCATTTTCCTTTGATGATCACGTTTGCATGTCCTCCTTCAATCCTTAATCTATAATGAGGAGGAAAAGCAGCGCTTGAGAGCTGGGAGCTGTTTGGGAACTCACAGCCAGGCCGTGTGTTCTTCTGTTTGGTGCGAACCATTTCATAGAACTCAACATCAGACAAGGTCATTCTGTGACCTTCATGGGGTAAGGCAAAGATGAAGTCACTCCATAGTCATGTCTTAGCACTGACAAAAGAAAATTATTCAGAACACAAAAATGACCCAATATACCCCTTCCCAGCCTAAAACACATGGCTTCTACTTTTTTTTTCTTACCAACTACAGCGTTTTTTCCTACTGCTTTCAAGATAAAAAAAAAATTAAGATATTAAATTACAGAATTACCTGCTTCCTGATGGTATCCAATCTAGAACAAACCCTTCCTTTTTTGAACTCTCCCCCAGATCACCTAATGAAAACCAAATGGGACTTTCTAGCATTCTCTTTCCAGCATCCTCTTACTGAGACGAATCTATGGTTCTCCATAATGTGCAATCTCCCATAATGCAATGAGTGAAGAATCCCGAATTTGTTCTACTACAGGTGGACTCCTAGTGGTCAGTGGCTGTAATGTATCTCTGGATTTGAAGTTCCATCAATATTCATCTATGCCCCCTACAGTCTTGGATGGGAACCCTCCACTCACCAATTTTAGTGTGCTTATTTGAGACCCTTTGTGTCTCTAGCTGTCTGAAGTAAACACACTGCCCATGGCTAGAAGTTCATGCTGAACTGAGGTTCAATATTTTGCTGGGGTCCTTCTGCTTTAGGTGTTTTTTCCTTCTTTTCTTTACCTCCTCCCTTTTCTCTCTTTTTCTTTCTTTCCTTCCTTCTTTCCTTCTTTCTCTCTTTCTTTTTTCTTTCTCTTTTTCCTTCCTTTTTCTTTCATTTTCTTTCTTCTCTCTTTCTCTCTCTCTTTCTCTCCCTCCCTCCCTCCCCTTTCTTTCCCTTTCCATTCCCTTTCCCTTCCCTTCCGCTCTAAAGTAAGGTTGTTCCCTAAGAATCCCTGGTATACGGCCATATCATGAAACCATAAGGCTTTTAAGAATCCAATGTCAAGGATTTTCTTTGACAAATCTCATTTAGCATCCCTCCTGCTGGGTTAGAGAAAGAGAACAATTCAGCAAACACACTAGAAGCACCTTTCCCTTTTCCATTTCCATACACCCCTTCTCTATAGATGCGTGTCTTTGAAAATCCATTATCCCTGTTCAACTCTCTCAAGGTGAATTCCAGGAGCGCAGAGACCTCTTACTATGAGCATTAAGGTGTTTTTTCCTCCCCTAGGAATAAGGTTACCAGTGACTTTGTGGTTATCTGGCCTTTTATTGTTCTTTGGTGATACTGTTTTCTAGTCTACTGATCCCTGTTCCTGTGGACTGTCTGCTTGTACAGTGTCTTGAGTGTTCTTTATCTCTAAAAGAGAAGATCTGCAGGGAGACAGTAAGCATAAGTCAGGGAAGTCAGTCCTTGAGCTGGCTCAGAGTCTAGGGGTTCAGAAGGTCTCCTACAATCAACATTCTTTGAATAAGCTTTGACTTTGGTCATGATTTCAAACCGTTAGAAGAACTTTTTCGTCAGTCTTGCCTTTCTATTCTTGAGAACTGCTTGGTTTAGATTAGCCTTCTCGACATCAGAAGGGATTGTCTGATCCTGGATTGGGCTTTGGCCAAGTTCTGATGAAGGTAGCTGCACAGCACCATCGTTTGGGAGGATCTACGGCGGTGCTCATAGTGTCTAAACTATGCGTTTCTATGAAACAAACACCTTCTTCTCACATCACCTTAGCTTACATGCTTATGTCTCTAACTGGCACGATTTCACAGGATGGTGTGTTTTTGTTTTTTTTTTGAGACAGAGTCTTGCTCTGTTGACCAGGCTGGAGTGCAGTGGCATGATCTTGGCTCACTGCAACCTCTACCCACTGGGTTCAAGCAATTCTCATGCCTCAGCCTCCCAAGTAACTGGGACTAGAGATGTGTGCCATCATGCCTGGCTAATTTTTGTATGTATTTTAGTAAAGATGGGGTTTCACCATGTTATCCAGGCTAGTCTCTAACTCCTGACCTCAGGCAATCTGCCCACCTCGACCTCCCAAATTGCCAGGATTACAGATGTGAGCTACCATGCCTGGCCAATTTCACAGGATAATTTTGAACTGCAGTGG